AATTAGAGATACCAAAATCAAGCAAGTACAACAATTTAATTATCTGAGATGTGTTTAATAGGGGACAGAAAGTGTGACACGAAATATGAAAGCACATTGGAATAGTGAAAGATGCCTTCAAAAAGATAAGCAAAGTATTAAGAATCAGGAAAATTTCATTAGAAACAAAGAAAGGAGTACTGATCTCTTATGTAACATCTGTCCTATATTGCAATGAATGCTGGACAATCTCTTCACAGATGAAGAAGGGACTTGAGGCAACAGAAATGTTATTCTTCAGAAGTATGCTGAGATGACCATGGACTGAACATGTGAGAAACGAAGTCTTGGAGAAAATGGAACTAAAATGCCCCTCCCCCCTTTTTTTTAAATCCTATCACTCCCATTGCAAGAGAGTGAAGCCACTGAGACACAAGGGTTACTAAGTGTGGAAGAAAAAAAAAAATATTATTAAATGAAATTAATAAATGACTAATCAAGACAATAGATAGCGATCGACATTGCATTAAAATTTTTGAAGATCAGTTAGCTGGAAAGCATGAAGATAGAAGAGTTCTGGAAATGAGAAGTGCAAGAAAAACTTATCAGTTTCTATGGTTACATCTAAGTCAAATCGACTGTGAATTGATGAGTCCTTGTTGCCAAACTAAAATTCATAATGTCTAAATACCATAGCAAAGAATTTATCCAAACAATTACCATGAAAGTATTTATAGAAAAGGCACAGGGAAGTTACATTACGACAGTGTGAAAGTGACTGATGCCAAGATTCCAGGTCAAGACCAATAATATTGCTGATTCTTCTTTGGATTTTAACAAGAATCTCTAAATATACAGGGGGGGGACACTGGACAAGATATGGCAGCAATATTCAAAACATGGATGAATGATGGAATTATAAATATGCAAGTTACATTCTGGAGAAAATTGTCTACTATGATACAATGACCTGAATTTCTTAGCAGCAGACCTAGCAATGGATTCAATATAATTTTTCCACTTCATATCTGCTGAGAAAACATGATTAGTCCCACTCATGGAGGTTAGCATCAGTCATGCTAATGGGAGGCAGGAAGTGGTCTTTCAGGTGATTAATAGAAAGAAGTTTCATTTTGGAGATGTTAAAATGAATAATTCTCTCCTTACCCCCATTTAACAACTGTAGGTTATGATTTTAGATCCCATGCCAATTTCACTTTATCAAACTGATCACTCATTCTCAAAACAGGAGTAAATGGTTGTCATCAGCATAGATACCAATTTGAGAAATGATGACATCAGGAAGATTGTTAATGAAAATTAAAAACAACATAGGTTCAAGGACAGAGCTCTGGGGGAGACACACCTGCTTTAGTACAAAATAAATAAAGAAGAGTGACCATTCAGGACAACTTTCATTTTGCAATTAAATGAGAAAGTTCAAAAATTTGTAGCTTTTCAATTTGTGGAGAAGACTAGTATGCCAAACATTGTCAGACGTTTTCGAGATGGCTAAAGCAACAGGCCAAGCTTTACCAGTCTTATGTAAAGCTTGATAGTCTTACAGCAATAATTGTTAGTACATTAGCAGTTGACCTAGATAAAATGTAAGCCATATTGCTTATCTGTAAAAAGGCCCTGTGCTGTGAGGTGCTGAACCAATTTGAAGTTGATTAGGGCTTCAAGTAGTTTACCAAAAAAGAAATAGAATGCTAATAGGTCGATCATTTATGAGGTCAGATGGTTCACCTGAGTTCTTAAAAACTGAAAGAATAGAGGAGGATTTCCAACAAGCATGAAGCAAGAGTCAGCGAAGCATTTATTATACAATTTAGAGAGAACAGGAGCCATTTTGGGAGCACATTTCTTGAGGACGATTACAGGGATACTATCAGGTCCACATGCTTTGTGGGGTCTTAGAGATGATAGCAAAAACTATGGCAGTTATATGCACTCAACAGAGATTTGGTTCTAAGTGGAATAGTGAGCAGAGATACTCCAGATGAGTCAAGAGTAGTGTTTGCAGAGAACTTACAAGTAAAATTATCTGCTTTATCAGCAGAAGATATTAACACCTCAAATTGAGGGAAGAGAGGAGGAATAGACTTTATTTAATACACTATAAGTTGGACCTTGTTAACAAAGTTCAGTTCACAATATGAAATCATTAATAAACTTACCAGGTAATTGATGCTTAATCACCAAAATATTTTTTTTTTTTTTTTTTTTTCAATTAACCAAAAGCCATTTGCAAAAGCTAAGGAATTAAAAACAGACGAGGTGCCAGTTAAAAAGTCCTTATGCAAACTAGTTCCACCCAAAATTTATTCATCTGCAGAAAATGTCAAAGTTTACCATTTTAAAAATCCCAATCCTCAACACACATTTTTTCTGTAACATTTCACAAAAGAAAAGTTATTCTGATCTTAAACATTTCTACCTACTTATCTAGCTAGACAGACACATCAAAAAGTGGAAAGAAATATTGATAGGGATGAATTTTAGTACGGATTATATTAACATTCATATTCACTATATGAGAAGATGCTGAACAGTTCTCTGCCTGATCAAGAAGAGATTAAGGTCTCATGCATAATCTAGGACTTTTTATTTATACAATTAACTATTATCACATTAAAAATTTCTGCATTTTAAATCATTCAAAAAAACAAAAATAATACAGAAGTCAGATATTAAACAAAAAGCAATATATTAGTAGTCTGCGCTCTCCTATTTGCTAATAATATTTCCGTGTGACTGTAACATACCAGGTTGTTCATTTATTGGCGTTGTGTAATGAAATTATTTGTGTTACCATAACAAGTATTTTATTAGTCAATAAAAATTAGCACTTATTACCAATAAAGTCACATTTTGTTTTATGTTCTTTTATGTGCCATGTCCCTTCAGGACATTGGCTACCATGGCTCTCTACAACTTCTTCCTTGTTAGGTAGGTTATGTATTTTTCCTCTGTCCATCTTGATTTTAATGTCTTGTGAGTGTCAAATTTTCCAAGCCCTCTTTGCTCATTATTTGCCCTTGAAATTTCAATTGTCTCTTTCTGGTTTCAAGTATAAAGCTGCAATAGCCCATAGGAACCACTTTTTTCAGCTATACCAGCATAACAAGTCCAATCACAACACACACATATTTGATTCCTAGGCTGTTCAATTTCTTTGCTACTATATTTGAAAAGCCATCAAAAGTTCAGCTCCTAAGGAAACCACATTGTGAGCCATTACTGTTTAATTAGGCTCTTACTTGTTTCACCATCAGTAAGCACTGAGCAGAAGACAGTTTTGTGCCATGAAATTTGTAATTTGATACAGGAGCTTGTTAAAGACCAGACAATGGCTGAACATGTTATCTTTGGATTAGTTATATTTTTCTGTCCACAGATTAACACCTGGCCTTCACAACAAACCAGTTGGTCTCATGACAAAAGGAATAAAAAAAATCCCTCCCACTGAATAAAAGCTATCTTTTTAAAGAGTATTATTTACTTGATATTTTTAACTTTGACAAAGACAGCTTCTACTTTTTTTTCTTTTTTTTTTTTCTATGAAGACTCCTATATTTTTCTTTAACTTTTTTACAATCTCTCATTGTTATTTTAAACTATCATTTCTCTTCTGTTTTATACTTTATATTTTTACTCCTCTACACAATTCTGAATACTTAGCTAACATTTTGTTTTAATCTAGCCTAAATTTGATGAAAAGGTTTTATACAATGTGTTTGCATTTCTATCAATACATGGTACTTAAGATGTGCTAGGTGTATAGACATTTGAAACTCAAGTTGTTGTAATCACATGAAGGACATAAAATGGAATAAATTAGATTGAAATTGAGATATTGAAAATAGTTAAACTGATTAAGCAAAATGGTAATATAGTGCTTTGGTTTAAAAGTAGATTTTATAGCATTTTTTAATGAGTTGAAATCAATTTAAAATAACTTCAATGCTATCTTAAATGAAAGACTTAAATGAATTTAATATCTTTCATTCGAAAAAGTATTTATTTCTAATATTTTTCAGTTTTACAGTAAATATTCCTTTTCACTTACAGCAAGTCTTTGGCATGCATCATTTGGGGTATATGGTGAAAGGAATAAGCGTTAATCTAATTACCTGCTGGTTAGGAGTTCAATCCCAAAGAGTGCGGGGGTGGGGAGCTACAAACTTTTGTTAAGTAAAAGAACTAATGAGAAATTCTCTAGTATGGAGAGTCAAAGGAGTACAATTTATTCCCATAGTTTGAAGAAAAAAATACTTGGTTTAAAATTACTCATCCCAACCATATTTTCTAGTGTTTTGCTGATGATTTGGTCATTGTTAATGTTCATCTTGAACTAATGGCATCAAGATGTGTATGTTACTAAAAAAACAAAACTTGTGTTCAACCTAAAGAATGTTAGTCAAAAGCCTGATGACTTATTTCAAGAGTATCAGTAGCAAATTTGCCAAACTTCCTGCAAACTTTGATGTAGGCATGTTGCCATTGTAAAGATTGCAGAGCCATTCCAATGTAATATTACCAAAACCTCGCCTGATAATTCTACATGAGTAGACAGTCAGTAGGTAGACTTGCTCAGTAGGCTAGGTGCACATTTTCATTAAACAATATCATCATAGTATATACAGGCTAAAAACTTTTCATTGCCATTTCATAAATTTGAATAGATAAAAATGGAACAAAAACTGAAAATGGTAGTGTTTGTTTTTTTTTTTCTTTCTCTCTCTCTCTCTCTTAGAAAAGTATCGATTTAAGTAGAAATCAAGAATATTTTAAGTCTTTGCATTTTATAACTTTATTCCAAGTTGGCATTCAGTGTAAACATGAATACCAAAGATTCTAGTGTTCTTGAAATCTTTTTTAGAAAACACTTTGCCTAAAACCAATAAAAGTTAGAATAGTTTTAGGTTTTTGATTTTGAATAAAATAATTTTTTTATGTATTTAAATAAATGTAGTTAATGCTTTCTTTCACTTCAGACTTCTGTATCCATCTTCAAAATGTTAAGGAAGCTGCTGTCTGCATCGGTTGTCAGCATCAGCCAACATCTTCATGTCACACCAAATGTCATCCCTCTTGCTGCTATCAGATACAATTCTAGTCTGGTGCAACAATTTCAACAAGCAAATTTGAAGACTATATTCAAAACACATGTACAAGATCCTGTAAGTCAATTTAAATATACATTATTTCTAAGTTATTCTTCTGAGATTCTTAAATGATGATTTCTTTTCTTTTTTCTTTAGAAATTCATTAAATTCAATTTTAATTGCCTTACTTTTCTTTTTCTTAGTACTTTCACTTGGATATTAGAATTGACTAAAAAAATTTTTTTATTTTCCTTATTTTTCACCTTTTCTATCAAAGATATGAAACTAAATTACCATACATGCTTGGATTTTTATCTTTTAAGATTTTTTTTAACTGTCTTTTTTTAAATTTGCAATGTTTTTGTATGCACATAAAGAGTTATTGTAATGAAGATCTTCATAATAAAGTATCAGTCCATCCAGTTGATACTGCTTGAATTCTTAGGGCAATATTTAGTATTTCTTTTTTGAAATATCTTTTTTTCTTCCCCCCCCCCCAATTTTAGTTAACTCATTCACTGGCCTTCAAATGATATTTTTATTTGATTTTTGAATCTGTTATTCCATTAACTATTTTATTTGAATGTTCTAGATAGACTGTATTGTTATGCTGGGATTCTAGCACTTAGAGGGAAATGCTGAAAAGTTCTCAGTCCTAACAAAAAAGGGATTCTCTTTTTCTCAAAAATTCTGTTTTGTCAGATTTTGGGAAGTTGGTTGGGACAAGAAATTTTCAGCATTCTGATTCTTTTAGTTTCTATATTTTCCAATGGGATTTTTTTTCACCCTTAGAACCTCTGGAAACTAGAGTATACAGGCACTTTTTATAAACCAGGTATAAAAACAGATAAAAATACAAAAACTGTAGGACTTAATATCCAAGTGTGTATGGGTGCAAAAAAAAAAAAAATCCCAACTGGCTCGTTTATCTGATTTTACAATACATTACAACTAAAAATCAACAGGCACAGCACAAAAAAAATCACATGAACGAACTGGCTGAAATGTGAAAACGGTGAAAGATAAAGATAGTTTGTAAACTTAATTGGATAGGTTCCAAATTCCAATAAATAATATCTGAAAAACTTCTTTCTTTTTTTGGGGGTGGGTTTTTTGTGGGGAGTGTAAACAAAGTCATTATTTGTTCTTTAACCAATCTCATTAATATCTAAATTTTTGAACAAGTGATTTTTCTACAATATCCCCAATGCATGTAAAACTTTTCCAATTTTTTCACATATTTCTGTTTTGACTTTTGAATTTTATCTTAGATGCATTTAGTTAATCAAATTTCTACATCAGCCTTTCCATTGAAAAGTTGTAACAGAAATGTTTGTGGTTCACTTTCCATTGGATTCATAATCAACTAATATGTATTATCTTTACAAAATTTTTGATTCTTATTAACTAAACTCATTTGAAAATTTACTAACATAAGAGATGAGAACGTTCAGATGGAATGTTCATTTCTTCCATCACCTGATATAGTGACAACATACATACATCAGCATGTTTTATTTTGTTTTGTTTTGATTTTTTTTTTTTTCTTTTTACATGTGAATTATAAGCTCACAGATGCTTCCATTAAAGTAATCCAAATCAGCCTACATTGAAGTATAGTTACTTAGTAACAACTTCACTTCCATTCATGAACACATGAAACCTGCTAATAAGACTGACTTGGCATCTGTTTTATTTAAAATGATGTGCAGCTGTGCACAAAAGAAATTCTCATCTCTCATGTCAGGAAACCCCTATGTAAAGCATTATAAATTCTGTTGAAATTAGGACTTCAAATTACCTCCCTTACATTGGAATGCTGTTCATTGCTTCTTTTTCAAATATTTTCTTTTATATGAGGCCACTAACATTTATATATAGTATTAAAAACCTTTTCAGTTCTTAATATACTACTATATATATATATATATATATATATATATATATATATATATATATATATATATATTACTCTATGAAATAACACAAAATCTATCTACTGATCTGTTAATTTCTGTAGGCTCACAAGGTTATACACGGAATTTTAGACATTCAAATTCACTTTTATTGTAGTGCCTAATTTATAAATATATAAAATCACTTAACCTGAGTAATTAGTCATAAAACATTGCATCTATTTATTTACAATTGGTTAGGGATTATGAAACTGTGTTTTTTTGTTTTTTTTTATGCAAAAGTTTGAATGGATTTTTTAGTTATCTGTTAACATTACCACTTTATAAATTGATTAACTTATTCAAAAACGAAAAATTCTGTTTATATATAAAATATCGTTCTATACATTAGTCATAATCGTCAAGAAATAAAATTATTTCAGTCTGTATAAAAAAAAAAAAATAAAACCCTTTCTGCAACATTTAATTTTTAATAAAATCAAGCAAAGAATATTATTTGCTTGCCAGGCAGACAGGATTGTAGGGAACTAAATAAAGTTTGCTGATTCCTAATCTGTACTCAGAATTGTCCAAGCATATCAGCTTTATGAGTTCTGCACGACATGTTCAAATTAAATATATTAATAGCATATTAGTACTGTATATAGTATCTTTATCCTAAAGGCAAATATATTAGTACATTTATGTTAAAGGCAAATTTATGATGAGAAAAAAAAAATGAATAAATATAAAATGAGTTTATTTTGAATATATTCAGAAAAGTTTTAAACTTTTGTGTTATAGGAACCAGTTATAGTTACCTATCCTGTTTGGGTTAAACTAACCTTGATACTTTAATTCCTTCTTGGATACATTCTCATGGTACTTCTCACTAGGATCATTATTCATGACACACAGATCCATTAGGAAAAGTAAAACCCAAGATGAGAATGCAAGAAGAACATTCTAAGAGATATCCAATTCTTTGATATATTATTAGCATGTTCATTAAATCTGAGACCAAAGAAAGTTTTGTCCATCTAACACAAATGATTCCCATACAATCAATTCAAATGAATAATAGTAATACTCTATCAATATATTTACCTTGAATACAACTATGCCATGCTCATATCGCCAAAAACCTGACACATGAAGACGGTACTTAATATAGATTCAGAATCAGTTTACTTAATTTAGTACATCATTATTTCTCTTGTTAGCAGACAAGTTTATTTTCTGTTGGCCAGTGTAAGACAAGGTCTGAATAAGATTGTTGGAAGGATGGAGGAAGAGGTGCATATTATAAGAATATGTAGAATAAATGTCAGTTTGACCTTAGACTTGAAGAGCCCAAGATTGTAGTGGTCTGGGAAGCATCCACTATGCTGTCTGTTCCACAGAGCAACAACTCTGGTAAAGAAGCTGTCATTGGAACTCTCTCTTTTTTTTTTTTTTTTTTTTTTTTTTTTTTAACCAAAGAAATACAAAGGGAGTGAGCAGGATTTCACACTGTACATGGTATTCTGCGACTGAAGGACTGAGCTGGTCAAATTAAGGAATGTAGCTCGTGTGAACTTTTGCCATAATAACAGCAAGAGAGTAGTTCGATGATTGAAGATCTGTTTTCTTTCTGGTAAAGAGCTCAAATCTTAATACTTGATCGGTTTTGTCTTTTGGAAATGGATCATTCAGGTTAAGTTCTCCTAATCAAAAAGTCACTCATTGTAATCTAATGTGATGAAGCCAGATTGGTAATTGATTAAAGAGACTTTCAATCATTTGAAACACTTCTTAATCAAAAAATAAAAATTTACATTTTGGAGAAAAGTTTCATAGTCTTTTTCAAAATCTATTAAAATTGTCACAGTTTAAAGTTTAAAACAAAAGAAAAAAGCCTGTTTGAACTTGTCTGATTAGGACTGGTTTAACCAGGTTTAATTTAGTCATAAAGCTGCTATTAATCTTTGTGAAAAAATTTTGACACTATTTGTATGTTACTTTAATTCTCAAATACACAATAGCCAAATGGTTCTCTCTTGGTGTTTGTTTTTTTTGTTTTTTGTTTTTTTTCTTGAATCAATTTACTAGTAAATCCTTTATCATTGACATTAGACTTTGCTGTTTTAAAATCCCACAAACATATATATTGCAGTGATTACATTCTTGTAGATTTTTAAAGCCAAATAAGATATTATTTATTGATCTTCAATCTTTTCTTTTTGATATTTTATTTTTAAATCCATGATCTTCATGTTAAATCTCCCATCACTTATTTTGATTTATAAATATCTCTGCTAAAACTGTTGATGTCAATTTCAGAATCCTTATTGTCTTGGTTATAAAGGAATTTTCACCATCTTTGGAGGCCTACTTTACTGTCAAAGGCTCCTTTTACTGTTGCTTTTATATGAAACCAGAGAACTGACATTGAATCAAGGAAATGGAAAAGAGCCTTAAGTGCACAATTCTCCAAAAAGTTAAAGAAGTCTTGTCCCCCTCTCCATGTGATATTTGATAATTAAGTTCTGTAAAGAGAAGCAACTATCAGTTATGTATATTTTACTTTTTAAAAATACATTATAATAAATTATTAGTTTGTATACTGGGAAAATAGTACTCTAGGTGTTCAACTTAAAAAAGGTGTTGGTGACAAAGTTGTAATTCAATCTCCAGTCAAGTATTTCTTTAAGAAGTATGTCTAGTGTCTCTTATTGGTGTAAAATGATTTAAATATTGTTGAAGAGAGAGAGAAAAAAAAAAAAACAATATCTTCCTTCTCTCTCTCTAGTTAACATATTGCCCAGAACTCCTGGAGAAATATCAAAGATATTATCCATCTTTGAACCTCCACTGCTAGTTTGATGTCATCCAAGATAAGAGCAAAACAGGAAGAAGCAAAGTTTCACTTCATTGACTAAGAAACATAACAATATTTTGTATAATCTTATTGGATTTCTTTGTCTGACATTGTTGCCACATTTAACACCTCCCAGCACCAGATGATGGGTGCTGATCCTTTCTGTCTTAACTGGCAAAGTGAATTCTGCTATTCTGAGAGGTCCTCTTACAGCTGCACTGTTGCTCTGTTCACCCTGAGAACATGTAAGAAGCAGATACTAATACAAAAAAAAAAAAAAAGCTGGAGGTTGGTGAATAGGTTAGAGAGGAAGAAAAGAA